AACCATAGATCAGTTTCAAGTGCAGTTCGGCTTGGGAAGGGCATTGCTACTTCCCATCGTTGTGTTCAATACTTTACGAGAGTTAACAAGTATTCTTTACAACTTGACTGGTATCACTTCATGGCTTCACAAGATTTCACAGAATTCTACTTGATGGCTCGACGCGACGATGGGAAGTAGAGAAAGTACCAAAGCCCCTCCCAAGCCGAACTGCGCCCAAAAGAAAATTTTACAATTGCAACTCACATGCACTCAGTAAGTGCTTCAACTAACCTTGACCTCTAGCTGCCGTGGTCGATTAACGTCAACCAGATAGTACACTTGTACCTCTGAAGCTCCCGCAAAAATATCGCGATCGATTTCCACCTCTTCTGGCAAATCATCATCGTATTGATCGTAGTTCTGAAAAAGTAGAACATTTCACTAATTGGCTCAGATCGGAGGAAGTACTGCTGTAGGAAAGACCTACCTCACTGTGCTCATAGTCTTCGTCTTCAGGCTCCTCGTCGGCAACTACACCACCGACGGTAATATTCAGAGCGATAAAGTTATTGCAGAGATGTTGACCATCAGCTGACGTCACGACAGAGCCATCACAGTGTTCTGGAGCCTGAAAGAGAGGAGCTTCGTTGCTGGGGTTCGACACGGTGGTGGCTCCACTTATGGTTAGGTACTCGTGGCTGCTCGGAGGAGACTCGTAATAGTAGTTCTAATTTGAAAGGGTTAGTCCACGCTGATGGTATGGGCGGAGACAACCAACCACTGCGCTTTCCTCATTCGCGCACCTTCTTCTTCACCACCTTGCAGGAGGCTGCACCCTCGTACGGAAAGCACAATGGTTGATTAGTTGGCTCTCCCCGGGTGTAAGACAAGACAATCGCAGTATGCCGCTTGGTGGGCGTGGCTAGCGGCGCCGCGGTGTGAGACGAGTAGTCTTGGAATGGACACGATTGCTGGAGGCGTTCAGCTGAACTCTCAAGCGCTTTGTGAGCGTGTGACCAACGCTCTTCCACCAATGACGCTGGCAGCAACCGCCCGCCATCGTGCCCACTGCCTTTAGGTTGAGGGAGTCTACTCTGCTGCTTTTCGAAAATTCTAGAATTTATAGAAATATTTACAAACCTTGACAGTGAAATCGTAGTGGAAAGTGAGATTTTCGAATACCAATTCTCGCCAATATGGTTCAAGCCAGAATGGTTCAATGGTGAAAATCACCGACTTTCCTTCATTGACGCCCAGTGGACGAGGTGGAGCTTGTAGAGCTGAAATATTGCGCTTGTAGAACGCTTTATTATAAGCACAAAAACGTACATTAAAAATACGAAAAGGTCTCATGAATGGTGGGTGGAATCGTCTGGGGTGGGATTGAATACAGTCTGTCAGGGGCGTTTTGCCAAGCTGTAGAGTGCAAAAGAACGGAAACTAGGGGGGGCGTATCTCACCTAGTAAGTCTCTAGAAAAAAAGATTAGGTTAATAAACTTGAAGGACTAGTCCTTACAATGAGTGTCCGCTTCGCGCACGACCAGATGACGTTCAGACTTTGCGATAATGCGCGTCGACGCGCTATGACGAGCTGCAAGGCGTTACAAGAGCGCTCCAGTCCTGTAAACGTAAGGTGGCCGCAGACGGGGCTCGATGGCGTCGGCGCTTTTGGTGAGAGATATGTAGGGATCGTCCCTGCTCAATCATTAACAGTCTGGTATTGATCGGCACTAGCCACTAGAATTTGCCCTATCGATTTCCGTCTGCGGATACACTGTGCGTCCTGCGCGTCTATAGGATTGGAGCGTAACGGCGCGTTGCAGGGCGTCGACGAGCGTCATCCCGAAATCTGAACGCTGCCCTAAACGCTCTCTAAGTGCCTTTTCCCTGGTTGGAAAGTGATAGAAACGGTTGTCAACGAAATACTCATTAGAAGTATTAACTAGTGGTGATAAAAATATATTAACAAAATTTCACCAATGAAATGGTTAGCTGAAAGGCTTACCGCTCATGTAGCACACGCTGTAAGTCTTCATTGAAATGTTGGCAGGATGTCGAGTTTCACCGAGTCGATCATGACAGTTTACCGGTACTGTATGAGCGCATGAACAAGCAGTTCGTCCTTCTACCAAACGATCGCCACGATTTGGTCGAATTCGCATACAAACACTAGAAAACAAGTCGCTTCAGGAACCAACGATTACAAAACAATCTCTACTCTACTGTAATGGACAGACCGACACCGCGGAATTAGAATGTGATAGCTGACGCGCGCGCGGTCGAGACGCGTCATGGTGGTCGGATCGATAAGCAACAAGCGCATCGCGGCATGCGTGTGCGTCACTTCTACATGCCGCGCATACGCACCAGTAGGAGCGCGCACACTCGTACAACGTTCCGCGCTGGGGCGAATCAACGATCTTTCATGTGTGGATTCGGGGCAGGGTTTATATGGATAGGAAATAATGAAGGGTGAGCAACTCCTTACGATGAAAGATTTGCTCTACTCCTTAGTTTCTGTTGCCATAAAAAAGTTACTGGGAAAGCTAAGTTGATGTAAATGTAGCAGTTTTGCCCCCGGTAGCAGTTATATAACTTTTCGGCGCAGTTCGGCGACTGGAGGGGGCATTTTTCTTCCCATCGATATGTCGACCCATCTAGACAGCCTTTTCGAGTTGACACGTTTTACCATGGTGGCTAGACGAGCTTGCTCCAGCTTCACAAGTTTCACCAGAGTGAGACTTGTAAACCGGAAGTAGTGAAGCAGTGAAAGTGCAAAATGCCCCCCCCCGTCGCCGAACTGCGCCTAACTTTTCTTTCAGCCTTCTTGGGATTAATCTGCTTCAGTATCCTGTAACCGGGTGATAAAGAGCCAAAAATTACCTGTAGCCACTTGCTGTACATTGGTTGCAGTCAAGGCATTGTTCAGTGCTCAGCGAGTCCTCGTCGATAAGGTTCTTCACACCTGAACTACTAGATCGATGGTTGTGTGGATCTTATTAAAAGCGCATTCCGCGATCATCAGAAGGGCTGGAATGGGCGGAGGCTCACAGTGATTCTCTTTGTCTACCCCTCTTTCGTACTAGAAGCAGAAGGCAAAACCATGACAGGATCGGCGCATCATTGAGTCTCCCCGGTTTTTTTCATGCATTGAAGTGCCCCGCCTCGGTTTTTGCTGGCCATAGTTATAACAGAACCACTATTGTGGGCTTTCCGGCTTCTAACTAGTCTCTTAGACCGCGTACAGATCGTTGCTGTGAAAACACTTAGGAGGGGTCGTTCTTTTTTTCTGGGAGGAGGGGGGTCGTTTTGATCGCTAGAAGAGAGGGTACGGTCCGTATGAGCCTTTGAGAGAAATTCGTCGCGTCGGTTTTTCCGGTTGTTTGACGTTTGCATGATTTTTTCCTGTTTCTGCCACTATAACCTCGCCCTCCGCTCGAGCAAGAAAATTTTAAGGGGAAAAACTGGAAATGGGGAGGTTCCGTACGGATGCTGGGGAAGGGGCACGGGGAGAAGGGAGGGGCGTACCTGCAATTTAGGGGGGTCTATACAGATCGTAAAGACACCTTTCGAGGGGGGGTCGTTATCTACAACCAGCCACTCACATATCACGAATGCGTGTGCACACTAGTCCGTAGGTCCGAGCTCAGTAATTAGCAGACTAGTCGCATTCTTTATCAGAGATGAACAGCTGTTATTGTAGTCAAACTTACCTACGAAATGAATTTTTCAAAGATTTCCGTTTTTCGTAAATAGTGTTCAGACCCAGAGCTGTAGGTACAGTGAGAAAATTTTCCATTCTTCTAGAGGCATCCTCTTCTTTCGTATTATCCTTGCAAGAATCCCCCCCCCTCTGTAGAACCGCCTAACCCTCAGAGGAACATGTTGTGCAGACTTGAGATTGAATTATTCCCGACGACAAAAAAGGGTACGGTAATCAGCTGTATAATCAGCTAGACGGCCGTCGGCCTCCTTTTTCGACGACGGGAACCTTAACGTCTGCACAAGAATGCTGAGTCATGGGCGAAAGTCAGACACCTGGTGGGAACCTTTCAAGGATGTACCCTTGTTCTAGCCAGCACCAAGCATCTACCGCAGAACCCCTCAAGGGAAGAGGGGAAGAGTGGAAAGGAAGGAGTGGGGGGGGGGTGGGGGTTATAGTAGCTTCTCTTCTACTTGAAGAATAGGGCTACCGTGGAACGGTCTGCAAGGAACTGAAATGGTTGCTTACAGGGTTTTTCCGGACTTTTGGGGATCTTCAGCACTTTTATGTCATAGAACTTCCTAGCACGATCTCCTCCTGGGAAGGGTATACCCTTCGAACCCTGGCTTTCCTACTCTAGCTTTCTCCCACGCCTTCTAATTAGTTACCCTTAAGTTCGGCTTGAAGAAACGGGGGTGTGGCACAAAGCAGGATTTTTGAATTTGTTGCCCAAGCCGGAATAAAGGATTTAAAGGCAAACCAGCCCGGCGACCACACTTGTGGGTAACGACCCCACATAGGACGAAGAAGGGCTTGGTATTGCTGATTAGCGGTGAGAAAAGCAGCGGGAAACAGTTGTGAGAATGCCGCATAAATAGGACTCCATATCGACCCCAACTTGTACATGCATGCAATGAAGAAAACGCATGTTTGTACGAATTTCCACTCGTCGTTATCATAAAGATATCAGCTCTTTTATCTTATCACCTCACTCTCACCATTCGGAATGAAGAGAGATAGTATAGTGGCTACTAGCTAGTAGCTAGCAGCCGGTTGGGGTCGGCATGGGCCTAAGGGGCGCCAATGGGCCTAATTGGTTAGCTTAAAGCGGAATCTTGCCGATTTTTAAGTCACTTCCTAAAAGGTAGCGCAGCCTCCGCAATCTCCTTCCGGATCGTCTGACACATTTGAAGGGTCATAGCCTTATTTTATCGCGGAAAGTGCCTTTAAATAGCCGCAGCCTAAGGAATAAAGGAGCACTAATGTGGTTGAATCAACTTCTTTGGGTAAACAGGAACTTTACTCTACAGTAATCCCGGCATTGCACAAGGAGTCCTTAAAACGCCCACCTCTCAAGGCGAGCAGTGATGAATGGAGTAAAGCGTTGCCCTAATATTGGCAGTTTTCAATCTGGCTTAAATCCATTTTTCAAGCATCGTGAACGTCGTGCCCCCACCCCGGACCGACGACGTCGCACTGATGGCGAATAGCGTGTTCGTGGTTCCCCTCCGCGCGCCAAAAAGAAGATAGTAATTTGCGCTTTTGCCACAGAATCAGGTCCATCTAACTTCCGACTGCAGCAGAAAATTACGTTCCGAAATCTGGAGTCAGTAAGTGAGAAAACGCCCGTGGATCCGGCGCGCGACGCACTTTCGTAGCGGGCACCCTCCACCGCTATCCGAATGCTCGTCTCTGGACATTTGTAGTCTACGCACTGTCCGCGTGTGAAAATCGTTCTGACGTACGGCAAATGCGCTGAAAAGAACGTTTTGTTGATTCATTTCTGAAGAATGAGGTGACACATTTCTTACAGATCAACAATTCCTTCTAGTACGGATACATGCAATGAACATATCATACTAAAAAAATGTTCAAAAAGTATTTAAAAAATGGATCGGCATTAAATAGAGGTCATCGGGCATGTCGTATGCTGGGGATCCCCATCCTAGAAAAGGGAGTCGTATTTGGTCGCTGGAAGGGAGCGGTTCGTAGCTGTTCTTGAAAATTTTGAAGGAAAATGGATTAGGTACTGTTGATTATGTTCCACGGAATTTTTCCCTAGTTTGCAAAGAAAGGCTGCTGCCTCATCACTATATTTCCCCCCCCCCCCCACTCAATCTTTCGCTCCTTAGATCGAGCTGCAGTTTCTTGGAGAAAGAAAGGCTGCTTCAGTAACGTTGGAAAAAAGTGTTAAAATTCTAAGGATCGGTAGTGAGACGGACTGGGTATTACCAACCACGGAATGTGCCCTGCATAGTAGGAAAAATGATGTTTTTGGATGGATGGCAATGCTCGGATTTTTGTCTCGATTAAGTTCCAGGCGGGGGAGGGGATAATGGGCGTGTGAAATAGGTTGCACGCCTAACCCCGGAGAAGCTCTCAGCGGGTGCGGAGAACCTATACCGATCAATTGAAGTTATCAGAAATCACTCTGTTGTGACTATGAAAAAAACTTTTGCCCCCCTCCCCCTACCCAACATGGATTCCGCAACGACGGGGTACTTTGACTCACATTGACCCCCACTGTGGAAATCGAGAGCTCGACAAGTTCAGGCGTGAGCACCACTGACGCCCAGGTAGCTCGGGGAGTAATCTCGAAGCTGAGCCTGACTGGATGACGATCTATGGTCTTCTAACAAGAGATTCCCGTTGTTTGACTACTTCTCATATTTGTCCCTGATCGCTAGTCTCCCGAGATCGAGTTCCTCAGGAAATGGGTGACTCCTAAATAAAAGCTGTTGTTGACGCAGTTCGGCTTGGTGGGGTTACCAAGCGTTACTCAACGAGGCTTGTACAAGGCACCTTGTGAAGACCTGTAAGTTCCTACCAGTGAACTGGCTCTTTTGTACCATTCCACTGCTTCCCAGGAAATTCCAGGTATTATTGCCCTTTTGCTTAGAGTTTACTAGCAAAAGAAACTAACGAATGTGCAGGATGCCCCCTCCAACAGCGTCACTGCTCACCCCTGTGCAACAAGATTTCGGTGGGCTAAAATCTAAAATTTCTAGCGGAAACAGATGATAGGCTTCTATCTCGCCGTATAGTTTTTTTTGGTTGTTTCAAGTTCTGTTATGCTTCTATGCAGTTATATCGATTACGAGATTATATCGGAAATTTTACAATTGAATTAAGTGTCATTAGAATCTGTTGGAAGAAGTAATTGAATCAGGTCTCAAGGCCCAGAAGGACTCCAGTGCTGTCATAAAACGCCGAATTCCCATGAACACAAACCGGGAAAAGGCAGAAAAATGCATATCATAGTAAAGCGGATGAAAAATGAAAGGATCGCTATTGGTCGACGCCCGTGGGATGGGCCACGTCCTCTATTCATTATGAGCAACACTGGTAGTTGAATGCGAGTCGGCTTCAGGGCACGTCCTGTCGTTGGGGAGAATTTTGCAAAATACGAGCCCCCTCAGAGATTCCTCCCTCCCCTTCCCGTTCACCCTCCTGCCTAGC